TCGTGCGTCCAGCGCGCTGAGGCGCGTCAGTCGCGAGCGGGAGAAAGCAGACGTATCCTGCCGGGATTCACTGTGGCTGGCGGCTCTGCGGCGCATTCCCTCCCACCGCGGTCCGATGCACCAGAGCGGTGCCCAATGAAGATAACCGCGCCCAGGAGTGAGGGGACGAGGATGTTGGCAGTGCTCAAACGCATCGCTTGGTATTGCAGCAGCAGTGGTTAGATAAACCAGTGGCGCAAGCTATCGTGTCCGCCGCCGACTTGGCTAGATAATCATTTATCTCAAGCTGTATTGCAGCAGCAGTGTTTAGGAAATCCAGTGGTGCAGGCATAGTGTCCGAAGCTGCATTGGCACGGAGAAGGAAGCGGCACCGCATGCTCACGTCGGAGGGTCGGGCCTCCAGGACACAGCCCGGCGACAATGCCGGCGGTCCTGCACAATTGTCTTCATGGGGCATGCTCACTAAGCCCTGTTACTCTTACAAGGGTGACTTGGGTCCGCTTGCCTCATCCTTGTCCTCGGGAATACCCCGTGACACCGTTAGGATCCGCGGGCGGCCCTAACCAAATAGTGTTCGCATGGGGTCTGCCCAGCGAGCTCCGGAAGCGCCTTTCCGGTGCACGTTGGCCCCAAAACGGGCCCGCCGACAGGCCCAACAATTCCTTGTTACAGGTGGGTTGGTGAGTATTTGTTTGTTTTATGCTGCTGCCCAGCTGGGCCATCCCCATACTTATTCGCCTCAACTGAGGACCCCCCAGGGAAACGGACAACTGGGGAACCGACGCGTCCTCAATGACTCGCCAAGCTCATCGCCCCCGAAACCCGAAGGGGTTTTGAAGGTCGGAGATGCCCCTCGCCGTGAGCCTTCTGGGGGTCGCACCCGATACGAAACTCTCGAAGTTCGTATCCTCCCAGTCTTGGGCAGAGGGCCTACGTGAGGCGCGCCGGCCTCAGCAGGTATGGTCCCAGGATGCGTTCTGGGCCAGCTTGTTCACTCCGCCGCATCGTCCATGCCAGCAGGAGGTGAGGAAAACATCGCCTCTCAGATGGTTATGCGACCGCGGGTCGAATCGTATTCTTCGGCGCGCGATCCCCTTGCCTGCCGTCGCGTCGCGTTGTGTAACCGTAGGGGTACGCAGCTCAGAGGTGGCGTGAGGACACGTTGGCCACATATTATCTCAGCCACCTACTCCCTTGTTGCACCCTGCCGCACGCGCACGCACTGGCATACAGCGCTGTTTACTCTGAGTCTCATTACCTTGGCGTCTTCACTCCGCCGCATCGTCCATGCCGGCAGGAGGTGAGGTAACCATTGCCTCTCAGCTTGCCGTCGCGTCGCGTCGTGTAACCGTTGGGGTACGCAGCACAATGGTGGCGTGGGTTGACGTTGTCCACTTATTATATCAGCCACCTACTCCCTTGTTGCATCCCGCCGCACGCGCACGCACTGGCATTCAGCGCTGTATACTCTGAGCCTCATTACCTTGGCGGCCTCGCTCCGCCGCATCGTCCATGCAGTCAGGAGGTGTGGAATCCATCACCCCTCATTCACACTCACCTCCAACGTGTGCTGATACGCTCCGATTGCTCTGGCGCACAAGCCGAGTAAGGACGAGCCACGGTCTTCACAACGGAGGTTGCCGATGAAAGGTATGCTACCTCTCATACCGTGTGCCTACCACGGTCCTTGTACCTGGGGGCACGGTAACAAGGGTGGGTGAGCCCCAGAGCCCCATCCGTCCTCACAGGGTTATGCCTACCCTCAAGGGCATCAGCAATACACTACAGTCCTCCTCCTCGTCCTCCTCCTCCACAGCCTTCAACTTCTCTTCCTCCACCTCCTCCTCCTCCTCCTCCCCCGCCTCCTCTCCTTCTGCTTCTCGTCTTCCTCCTCCTCTTCCTCCTCCTCCTCCTGATCCTCCTCCTCCTCCTTATCACCATCATCGTCATCATCATCGTCGTCATCATCCTCCTCATCATCGGCATCATCGTCATCATCCCCTCCCCACTGCTCCAGTCCTTTTCCTTATCTCCTCCCTGTCGCACCCCGAGGCCAGTTTTCAGGGCGGGCCGGGCGTTTCTCATGAGACGTCCTCACCAATTATGACTCTGAAGCTAAAAGCAGATAGAGGGCGGGTGGTTTTCAAAATGTGGCTCCCGCCTTAGCGCCGCGCACGTTTGCTTTTACAACATGTGGTTTCCGCCTTAGCGCCGCGTGCATTCGTTTTTAACAGTTGCAAGAGGTTCTCAGATTGAGAGCAGGTCGTTTTCAAAATGTGGCTCTCGCCCTAACGCCGCGCACATTCGTTTAACAAAGTTTCAAGAGTTTCACGGAATGAGGGAGGTGCCTTTCCAACATGTGGCTCTCGCCTTAGCGCCCCGCATATTCGTTTTTAAGATTTACAAGAGTTCCACAGGTCCCCATGATCAACGTACCAAAAATTGTGTTTCGGAAGGATTCAGGATTATGCGGGCGCGACAGGTATTTTGATTCGTTGTGTTGAAGTCCCACAAATGGCGTTCTGGCACGATTCTGGATCGTCAAACAGCCGCAGTCAGGTTGATACGTGGCGTTTAAATCCCGAGAACGATATTTTGGCACGCTTCAGGACCTTCAAACTGATCCAACGAGGCAGTTCCCTCAAAGGAAGTGAACCATTATACGGACCTATGAAGCGGGAGCTTGGAGGGAGGGATAATTCCAACATCGTTGGTGACATTTGGGTTTCCACTGGTCCTCCTCCTCCTCCTCCACCTCCTCCTCCTCGTCCTCCTCGTCCTCCTCCTCCTCCTCCCCCTCTTCCTCCTCCTCCTCCTCCTCCTCCTCCTCCTCCTCCGCCTCCTCCCTCTCCTTCCTCCTCCTCCTCCTCCTCCTCCTCCTCCCTCCCTCCTCCTCCTCCTCCTCTCCTCCTCCTCCTCATCCTCCTCCTCCCTCCTCCTCCTCCTCCTCCTGCTCCTCCTCCTCCTCCTCCTCCTCCTCCTCCTCCTCCTCCTCCTCCCCCTCCCCCTCCCCCTCCTCATCCTCCTCATCCTCCTCCGCCTCCAGCTCCCCTTCGGGCAAGCCACGAGGTATCTGTCCGCCCCTCGCGAGGGAGCCTCCCGTGCCACGGCCGTTAGGCGCTCATGTCCAACGCCGAGGGCACGGAGCGGTACGAGGACTAGTCCTGCTCACAAACTGGCCATCGCTCGGACGTCCATTCCCTGTGTTTTTGTTCGGTTTCGTGCGTGGCTTTTTCGCCAAATGATCAAGGATGCTCCTCGATGGTCCTCGCCGAAGGAAAAATGCACACGTCCGAGCGATGCCAAGCAAGTTCACTCGTCCTGCTCACACAGTGACCTCTATAACTATCGAATTAGGGGCGCGAGAATGTGTGGTGTGAGCCAGTGCGCCGTGTCCATCTACAAAATGGCACTCGAGCTCATGATGTAGGAACAAAAAAACGCACTGCGAGAGCGGTCGTGCAACAAAAACGCACTCGGGCTCATGATGTAGGAAGCCATGGCATTAAGAGAAGAGGAAGGCGAGGACGAGGAAAGAAGACGGGTGGCAAAACATGCAGTTGGCATGAAATTAAGCTGCCAGGCAGGGGGTGGCCGCGCTGGAATCAGACTGGAAACCTTTCAGGAATAATTAACAAAGAATGTCCGAAAGAAGTTCCCCGGAAATGTCCTTGAAATTCTCCAACAATACTTTGGGAATATTTTCGTGTGGCTGGAAATTCTCCCGAAATACTTTGGACATGATTTCATGGTGCCGGACAATTTCCGGAAATTCTCCGCTAATACTTTGGACATATGTTCGGGAATTCTCCAGGGGCCAGATTTTGGAGATGTGTGTGGGGCCGGAGATGTGTGGAAATTCTCCGGGGGCCTTGTCCGGAAGTTCTCCGGAAATACTTTGGACATATGTTTGAAATACTCTGGAACTACTTTCCGGGGGCCAGAGCGTCAGGAAATTCTCTAGAAATTCTTTGTGGACATCTTTTGGGGGGCAGTTTGGGAATTTTGTGAACGGTTTGTCATTCGGCGCTTCGACGTTGGGCGGAAGGGGGGGGAGGGGGGTAGTCTGGCTCCGGACCTCTGCTTAATGCGACTGATTGCACCAGGGCGTCCACTATGGGGGAGGCTCCACCTGCTCGAAACAGGCGCCAACAAAAACAGCCAAGATCCACTCCAGCAGGGGGGCGGGGGGCGTGCGAGTGCCCGCGCCCATCGGCAAAACAATGAATAAAAACCGATCACTTTCTGAAAATTGTGCTTATTTTGTTCTGGGGATATCCTGGCCTGGTCTGATTCCCAGCGCGTTACTGGTGTAGGGGCAGAGGACGGAGGCCCGCAATCAGCTCTCTGCCTCGGCTGGGCTCTGCCAGTCCGAGGCTTACAGCCGCCTCGTACCCCACCATCGGCCATGAGAGCTTGTGCACGGGTCCATGGCGGCGCGGCGATTGTTGCCTCGCACCGCGGAAGCAGAAGGCCTCAAGTGTTTGCCCCGAGCTTCTTCTCGAAGGTGGCCCCTTAAGGGAGACTCGTCGAAATTCTGCCTGGAGGCTGTGGCGGAGGACGCCAGTGCAGACACCAGATGATCAAAACTGCGTGCAGCACTCCTCCGCAGACGTGTAAAGCCCTTCACTCACTCATGCATTCGCACGCAGTTCACCAACGCAGGCACCAGCTCGGTGGTCTCGGGGGCACCCAGCCACTACAAAAAAGGCAGCGGCAGCGGCGCTGCAAAAGAAACCCCATCGCAGGAGAAGAGCAGGCAGGTCCGACCGGTGCCAAAGGATGACGAGCAGATGGAGGCCACTGTCCCCTCGGGCTCGGTTGCGCGCGCAGACTGTGCTCGTCTGGCCTCGTGGGCTCGTACCTTGTCTGCATCAAAAAACTTGGCGCGCAAAGCTTACCAAACCGGCAGTAATCACTACGGGTGCGAAAATGGTGCGGCACTGTGGGGTATGCGCTCCTGTACGCGCGCCCGCAATGCAAAGGCGACCGGCAACAGGTCAATCAAAGCTGGTTTGCTCGGTGTGCACAATGGATAACATGCCCACCATGTCGGACGCACTCGCTCTGCGAACGGGCTCTGGCTTCAACGCCGCCTCCAAGCACGCCAGTATTATGCCGTCAGGTGCGTTACCCATCTTCGTCATCGCGTCGGTGTGACAGCCAGCCTGGGAGAAGAACTCGAGAATGTTCCCCGCAACGTATGCGAGGGACTCGCCACGGCGCCACTGGACGGACAACTCGAGCGAACCCTGCCCGCAAGCGATCTCCAGGAACAACACCCCAAAACTCCAGCAATCTGCTGGCTTGGGCAAATACGGCTCGTTCAGCACCGTCTCTGGAGCGACGCATGGCAGAGATCCACACCAGGTCTCCCTTCTGTAGGAGTTTGGAACGTGGGCCGCCATGCTGAAGTCCACAAGGCGGCAGATGTGCCGATTACATGCTATCTCTACCGCCACGTGCCTCAAAGACACTTGCCCATGCACGACGTCATGGGCGTGGCAGTACGACAGCGCACTCGCAACCTGGGCACTGCAGTTCAAGGCGTCGTCCCTGGACAAGCGGTGGCCTCTTTGAGTCGACAACATTTGCTCCATGCACACATCTCCACCATACTGGAGAGCCACATACAAATAACACTGGCTCTGCAGCATACCTACGCAACGGATGATGTGTGGGTGGTCCAGGGTGTGCGTCAAGAGGCAGAACTCCTGGTATATGCTTTCCACCTCCTTGGCATCGGTGACGCTGCGCTTGTCGTGCACTTTGATCACTACCTTTTCATGCTGTCCTTTCACGGCCAAGACCACGTGGTGGTGATCCGAATACGGGCGCACAAACCGGAAATCCCCGACCTGATTCCCACATTCCAGGAGACGCTTGTTCAGTGGCGCGAAGTCGGGCATCAACAGATTCGGGATGGTACTCCAGAGGAGACCACGGAACTCGTCCTCGATGATTTTGAGATCCCTGGCAGAGGGTACCCCCTGGTTCGCATCGTTAGCAAATGCCTGCACGCGCGGCTGGATGGCGGCGTTCTCTCTGAGCTCCAAGCTTAACCTCTGTTGCAACCCTTCCGGGTCACCTGTCAGCTCTATCAGCACGCCGTCCGCCCCAAAGCTGTAGAGATCGTCCTGCCGCGCCATCAGTTCACTGATGTAGGCCTTGGTGAGCTCGGTATCCAATCGATCTGGAAGCTGCACCAAGAAGACGACCGCGTCGGAATGCGCCGTCCTCAGATAGTCTAGAAGACCTGCCACGCCTCTCTTCTCCCACTCCGTCCTGTATACGGATACGATCAACAAGACGTCGTGATGCTCCACTATCTGAGCGATGCTTTCCGAACTCACACTTCCGCCTGCTCCACATGCCAGCACGTTGGCCGGCTTTTCCTGCAAGCTCCACGGCACCAGGGTCAAAAAGCCAAAGGCCAACGTGGTTGGTGCGACGCTGGAGACATATGCCTCCACGACGCTCTGGATCGCACTGCGGGTTGCCGGCATGTGCGAACAATGCGACTGGCAATCGGGACACTGGATGAAACTACGCCTCCGGCGAAATTGCTTCTTGAGCCAGAATGGCTTCAGTCAAAACGACTGCGGCCCAATTAGCCTTCGAGGCGCCCCAAGAGAGCCGCAGAAACCTTCCCAAAAATGCCCCGGGAAACCAAAACCAATGATGTCCCGTGTGCTTCTTTAATGAATATATAATTGTCGGGTCGTCGACGTTCCGAGCCTCCGAGGCTCCAAGACGGCCCAAGAGGCCCCAGGACCGCCCCGAGATGACCCGAAAGGCGCCCGAGACGGCCCAAAGACAGGCCCAGGGACGACCAAAGAGGGGGCCCATGGACGGACACTCCGAATCGTCCGCCCCCCACGACGCGACGCCCAGCGGGCTCCCGCCAGTGTGGCTGCACTTCTCTCGGGCCTCCTCCTCCTCCTCCTCCTCACGCTCCTCCGGAGGCCCCCAGGAGGGCCCCCAAGAGGCCCACAGAGGCCCCTCCTGGGCCCTCGAGGCGTCCCCAAAAGATCGGGAGGCTCTCCATGGGGGGGGATCCCATGGGAGGATCGGATCCCAGGGGGGGGGATCCCATGGGATCCCCTGGGGATCCCCTGGGTGGGCAGGAGGGGATCCCAGGGGGGGGATCCCCTCCTGCCCCCCCATGGGATCCCCCCCCATGGAGAGTCTCCCGAAAAGAGACCCCGACACGGCCCCCAGGAGGCCTCCAAGACGGCCCCCGAGAGGCCCCCCGCGACAGCCCAGCGAACAGCCGAGAGGCCTATGACCCACCACCCAGGCACGGTGGCGGGATGGGCCGAAGAGAGCGAGGAGGAGGCGCCAGTCAAGCGGGGGGGGAGGGGGAGGGAGCTGGCGCACCTCCAATCCAGGAAGTCGAAAACCCCCATGGAATGATTTCCCCCGAACCCCTGTCCCCCAACCCTTACTCGAGAACCGCCGCCGCCCCCTTTTGATTTATCAAAGGGGTGCCTGGCGTGCCAGACTATATGGCTTTTTGTTTCGGTTCTTTTTCCAAAAGCACTCCCCCTGGGGCGTCGGCCCGTCTCGCCGGCCACCCAGAAGGATGCCGAAACTTTGCCCTGATACATGTGGTTGCAAAGGGTGTTTCCGTTCCAGACGGCTCCAAGATGGCCAAGGATGGCCTCCAAGACGGATAAGATGGCCTCCAAGACGGCTAAGATGGCCCCACGATGCCTCCAAGATGGCCCAAGATGCACCCAAGACGGCCTAAGATGGCCTCAAGATGGCCCAAAACGGCCCAAGAGGCTCCCAAGAGGCCTCCAAGACGGCCCAAGAGGCCTCCAAGAGGTCCTCCAGGAAGGCCAGAAGAGGCCAAAATCATGGATTTTCCTTAGGTGGTGGAAGGAGTTCGGAAGTTGCTTCTTCTCGGCATTCCGACGGCTCAAGACGGCCCCAGAGGCCCCCAAGACGGCCCAAGAGGCCCCCAAGAGGGCCCCATGACGGCCCAACTGGCCTCCATGACGGCCCCAAGAGGGCCCCAAGACGGCCCCAAGAGGCGTCCAACACGCTCGAGATGGCCTCCAAGACGGCCGCGAAGCGCCCCAAGAGGGCCCCAAGTCGGCCCAGAAAGGCCCCCAAGACGGCTCCCGACGGCGTCAGACGTGCCAGGAACCCACCAAGATGGCCGAAGTTGGCTCGAAGCTGGCCCAAGGCGGCCCAAGAGGCCCCCAAGAGGGCCTCCAGGAAGGCCAGAACATGCCAAAAACATTGATGTTCCTGAGGTTTTTGACTGATTTTGACATTTGCTTCTGTTCGGCCTTCCGATGGCCCGAGACGGCCCAAGCGCCACCAAAGATCGCCCAAGAGGCCCCAGAACGGCCCAAGAGGGCCCCAAGACGGCCCCAAGAGGCCCCCAAGACGGCACAGGAGGCGTTTAAGACGCCCAAGATGCAAGACGGCCCTGGAGCATTCCAAGAGGGCTCCAAATCGGCCCATGGATGCCCCCCAAACGGCTTCAGACGGCGTCAGACGGACCAGGGGCCCACCAAGACTGCCGAACATGGCCCTAAGATGGCCCAAGACGGCCCAAAAAGCCTCCAAGAGGACCTCGAGGAAGGCCCGAAAAGGCAAAATCACGGATTTCCCCAAAGGTGGTGGAAGGATTGTGGCGTTTGCTTGTTTCTGCCTTCCGACTGCCCGAGACGGCCCAAATGCCCCCCAAAGATCGCCCAAGGCGGCCCAAGACACGGCCCCCAAAGGCCCCTAAGACGGCCCAAGAGGTCTCCACAACGCTCAAGATGGCCTCCAAGACGCCGCAAGAGCCCTCCAAGACGTCCTCCAAGACGGCTAAGATGGCCCCAAGATGCCTCCAAGAGGGCCCAAGATGTACCAAAGACGGTCTACGACGGCCCAACAAGCCCGCACGAGGCCTCCAAGACGGCCCAAGAGCCCTCCAAGACGTCCTCCAGGAAGGCCCGAAAGGGCCGTCTTGGAGGCCATCTTGAGCGTCTTGGAGACCTCTTGGGCCGTGTGTCTTGGGCCGTCTTGGGCGTTTTTGGGGGCACTTGGGCCGTCTTGGGGGCCTCTTAGGGCAATGCTCGGCCGTCTTGGCATAGGCGCTTCCAAAAAGGCAGGGGGCGGCGGTGATGCGCCGTAGGCGTCTTCGATCGCAGGGGTGCCTGGCGTGCTAGACCTTCTCGGTTTTGGTTTTGGTTCTTTTTCCCAAATAACTCTCCCTGGGGCTTCGGCCCGTCCCGCCGGGGTCCCGGGAGATTGTCGAAAACCCGGTTGCAAAGGTTATTCCTGCTCCAGACAGCTCCAAGACGGCCCAAGATGGTCTCCAAGATGCACCATCCAAGACGGCCAAGATGCCATCCAACACGGCTAAGATGGCTCCAATATGCCTCCAAGACGAGCCAATATTCATCCAAGACGGCCTAAGATAACCTCAAGACCTCCAGGAACGCCCACGAGGCGTCGAAGAGGTCCTCCAGGAAGGCCCGAAGAGACCAAAATTATCCCGGCAAAGCAACCAAACAGCGATGTGTAGGAGCAACTCTGGAAGGATTCCCCTTACGATTCAAATGAGAATCCAGTTGTAGAATTCTGCTGTTCTCGCAGTCGTAGTCGCATTCGCGATGACAGTCGCAGTGGCAACGGCAGTCGCAGTCACAGCCTCAGCCTCAGCCTGCCTCAGCCTCAGCCTCAGCCTGCCTCAGCCTCAGCCTGCCTCAGCCTCAGCCTCAGCCTCAGCCTCAGCCTCAGCCTGCAGCCTCAGCCTCAGTCTGCCTTCAGCCTCGGCCTCAGCCTCAGCCTGCCTCAGCCTCAGCCTGCATCAGCCTCAGCCTCAGCCTCAGCCTGCCTCAGCATCAGCCTGCCTCAGCCTCAGCCTCAGCCTGCCTCAGCCTCAGCCTCAGCTGCTTCAGCCTCAGTCTGCCTTCAGCCTCGGCCTCAGCCTCAGCCTGCCTCAGCCTCAGCCTGCCTCAGCCTCAGCATCAGCCTGCCTCAGCATTCAAAATGTGGCCCGGGAATGGAGTTCTGGGAACTGGAAGAGCACGAAGTGGCCTACAGTTGGCTCCGGGCATTCAAAATGTGGCCCAGGAATGGAGTTCTGGGAACTCGAAGAGCACGAAGTGGCCTACAGTTGGCTCCGGGCATCCAAAATGTGGCCCGGGAATGGAGTTCTGGGAAGTCGAAGAGCACGAAGTGGCCTACAGTTGGCTCCGGGCATCCAAAATGTGGCCCAGGAGTGGAGTTCTGGGAGAAGAGCACGAAGTGGCCTACAGTTGGCTCCGGGCATCCAAAATGTGGCCCGGGAATGGAGTTCTGGGAAGTCGAAGAGCACGAAGTGGCCTACAGTTGGCTCCGGGCATTCAAAATGTGGCCCGGGAATGGAGTTCTGGGAAGTCGAAGAGCACGAAATGGCCTACAGTTGGCTCCGGGCATTCAAAATGTAGCCCGGGAGTGGAGTTCTGGGAGGTCGAAGAGCACGAAGTGTGTGACTGTTTGCTTAAAACGAGCCCGGTTCTCGCCTGTCCGGCTCCCGCCCAGACCCCCCTGCGGAGTCATCAGATGCTCTCTTTTGACCCCATGAGAAACCTATAAGTTTTCGCTGTTAGGTAATGTGGCCCGGAGAATACGAATTTGCCTGCAGTTGGCTCCGGGCATCCAAAATGTGGCCCGGGAATGGAGTTCTGGGAGCTCGACGACCACGAAGTCGCCTACAGGTGGCGCCGAGCATCCAAAATGTAGCCCGGGAATGGCGTTCTGGGAGCGCCAAAAGCGATTTGGCGAGGATGTCCCAGGCGATTTAGGCTCCGACGGCAGCCGCCGGATTCTGTCCGGGTTCCGCCCAGACCCCCCTGAGGAGTCATGATGCTCTCTTTTGACCCTACTAGAAACCTATCAGTCTTCGCTGTTAGGTAATTATTTATTCTTCAATGGTTTTCGCATTTGCGCCATTTCGGCTTCCGACGGCCCAAGACGGCCCAAGAGGCCCCCAAGGTCGCCCCAAGATCGCCCAAGAGACCTCCAAGGTGGCCCCAAGACGGCCCAAGAGGCCCCCCAAGACGGCCCCAAGACGGGCCAGGCGGCCTCCAAGACGCCCAAGATGGCCTCCAAGACGGCCCCGAAGCGCCCCAAGAGGGCCCCAAGTCGGCCCAGAAAGGCCCCCAAGACGGCTCCCGACGGCGTCAGACGTGCCAGGAACCCACCAAGATGGTCGAAGTTGGCTCGAAGCTGGCCCAAGACGGCCCAAGAGGCCTCCAAGAGGCCTCTGGAAGGCCAGAAAAGACCAAAAACACGTATCATGTTTTTTACTATTATTTTCTGTTATATATATATATATATATATATAAAGAAAGGAAAAAATACGATGTTGGATTTTGACGTTTGCTTCGTGTCGACCTTCCGACGGCCCGAAACGGCCCCAGAGCCCCCAAAGATCGCCCAAAGATCGCCCAAAGATCGCCCAAGAGGCCTCCGAGATGGCCCCAGAACGGCCCAAGAGGCCCCCAAGACGGCC